AGTATTTACTACTATTTCTGTAAAAAAGAAAGAATTCTTACCATTTGCAATAGCATGGATGGACCTGAAGAGTATTATGATAAGTGAAATAAGCCAGTTGGGGAAAGAAAAGTATTACATGATCTCACTCATTTGTGAAATATAATGAACCACATAATCTGGTGAACAAAAATAGATCCAGATTCATAGAAGCATGGAGCAGACCGTCAAACCTCAGAGAGAAGGCAGGGCAGGGTGGGGGTAAGGGGGAGAGATCAACCAAAGGACTTATATGCAAGCATATAGGCCTAACCAATGGACATGGACAACAGGGGGGTGAGGACATGAGCGGGGCGGGGGTAGGGAATAACGTGGGGATAAGGACACATATGTAATATCTTAATCAATAAAAAAAATATTAAAAAATTAAAATTTTAAAAAAAGCAACAACAACAAAAAAAAGATGAGTTTAATCAATAAAAAATATATTAAAAAATTAAAATTTAAAAAAAAGCAACAACAACAAAAAAGATGATAAAGCTGAGCTCTTGAGGTGTGGTGGCTGGGGTATTTTTTGTCTACAATCCTTCCTTCGTTTTCCACTCTTACCATGTGTTATAAGCTAAATTGTATCCCCCCCAAAATTCGTATACTGAAGTCCTAACCTCAGAATGAGACTGTATTTGGAAGTAGAGTTTTTAAAGAGAAAGGCACAGTTAAATGAGGTCAGGACTATAATCCACTATGACCAATGTCCCATTAGAATGAGAGGATATTAGAACAAATAAACACAAAGGAAGATGACAGCTGTCTACAAGCCAAAGACAGAGAGGCCCCAGAAGAAACCAGCCTCACTAACACCTTAACCTTAGCCGACGAGCACCCAGAATTATGGCACAACAAATGCCTGCTGTCCAAGCCCCCGGTCTGTGGTATTTTTTATGGCCGCCCTAGCAAACCCAAACTTATTCACCATGGCCTCCTCCCCGCAGGAGAGGAGTGTTCTTTTCACCTTACTGACTTCAGGCTTGGCCAAGTGGCTTGATTTGATCAACAAAACGAGGATGAAATGGCAATGCCTCCATTTTAAGCTAAGGTCTTAAGAGGCGTGTCAAGAAGAGCCTGTCCCAGGTAGCAGTGGACCCTCTAGCCAAGGCCCTAAAAGGTGATGTGTGCACCAGACATGAAGCCCGAACTCCAGCCTAGATCAGCGGAGCCAGCCAGGCTTCCATGGCAGCCCTCCTGCACACCAGACTACGGGATAAATGTGTCTGCTACAGGTCACGGAGGGTGGGGGCTGTTCTCCAGCCCTGCACCAGAAGCCCGACCAATGCCACACCGAGGGGAACAGGCGGAAGCCTAAGACCTAGTAGTCCTAACAGTCCTCAACGTGTAAATGCAGGAAAACGACCTTTTCACAGTAAAAATTACTGACATACACTAGAGAGGTAATAGCATAGACTGCAAGTAAACAAACCAAAATGTGAACAGTGATCAACTCTGTGTGATCAACTCTAGGTCATTGCTATTTTCTCCTTGATTTGACCTTGTATTTTCCAAACGTTTATACTGAATAAAATAATTAACATTGAGGAAAAGTTTAAAAAGAAAATCAAAAAAGGAAAATGGGATCTACCAACACAGACGATGCGAGGCCCCGAGTGAAAACAGTAGCTTCCAAGGGAAGCTTCCCTGATGCCACCTGTCATTCGTCCGGCAGTGAGGACTTGAGTGACAGTAAACAAAGGGACTGGCTTTCAAAGCGTGGAAGAAACCACAGGCTAAAATGTGCTGTGACAGCACAATACAGGATATCACAATACAGGTAGCCGGCCAGGCCTGCGATTTAATGGAAACAAGGCTGCAAGGAATAATAATAATAATATGGCTTTATTATCAAATAGAAAATATCCCAAGAATCTCGGCAGGGAAAAAACAAAGGGCTCTGGGACCAATGAATGTAGAAAACCTAAGCTTGTCAAACCAAAGCTGGGCGTCTGCAGGGCTGGGAGGGGTGCTGGCCCCTCAGAGCTGGGCATGGCTGGTGGTTTGGCATCCGTTCAGAACATCTGCTCATCACATTTCTATCCAAACAGCACATTATTAAAATATTCTTGGCCTTTACTCTCAGAACTGATTTGCTGATTTGAGCTCAGATGGATGAGACAGAAAACCTTCAAGACAAACCGTGAAACCCCTCCCCTCCAACCTGGGAAGCCAGCGCGGACTCTCTCCTGGGAGAGGCCCTCCCTGTCCAGCGCTGTCCCCGCAACTCCTTGATCTCTCCCTGCCCCAGTCACCCAGGAGCCTAATCAGTCATTTTAGGCAGTTTTTAAAAAGAGCTTCATGGCCTCTCATCTTATTTCCTAAACAAGAGGAGGAGTGAGGGAGCTACTCAGGTGGA